TCAGGGAATCATTAAAACAATCTTTGACTTTGTTCCAACATTTTTAATTTAATTAGATCCTTTTTCTTAACCCGAACTCCCCGTGCCCTGAGGGTGGACTTTAAGTCCTGAACAAAAACTACATACTAACCTGTTGTCCCATTGTTGGTGCTGCTCACTTACCTCGCAGGTCGCTTTCTCAGATGGGTGGGTCTGAGCGGACTTGCTATGCACAGTCACTTTCTCTGACGCATGAGTCCGAGCGGACTGCTTATGCACAGTCACTTTCTCAGACGGGTGGGTCTGAGCGGACTGCTTATGAGTCGATTGGCCGATCTTCTGAGCAGCATCCACCAGGTGAAGACCCCGTGTCTCGAGCCCCACGTTGGGCGCCACTTGCCCCGGCCCGCAGGGTCAGTAATTGGCAGAGCTCGAGAAGGGGAAGTACCTGGAAATGAGACAAGAGGGGCGCGGAAAGAAGGAGACCAAGCAAAGAGTTGTCAAGGTCTCATTTATTTGCAGATACAGGCAGTTTATAAAGGCAAAAACCACAAAATTGTAAGAGGAAATAGTTAACCATAAACTTTGGGAGGAGAATATAACAATAGTATAACACAATGTTACTATGTAACGGATCAGGTCACTTGTCTGTGCAAACCCGTTGTCATGGGTAACGACACAACTGTGGTCATGGGGTGATCAGTGAGTCAACATGGAGGCTGTTTGGTTTTTACTTAGGACAGGCTAGCAGCTTAGTCTACCACAGGTACCCCCCCACCAATAAAAACAAAAAAAAGTGCTCGTTTCAGCAGCACATATGCTAAAAAAAAAAAAAAAAAAAAAAAAAAAACACCAAAAAACAGAATGAGAATGAAAACCAGACAGATAAGTGGGGAAAACTTGGAAGCAAAACAAATAGGGAGGTATCAGAATTAGAGGTGAGGAAATAGAGGTGAGGGAGGATAATTAAGAAATGGAAGCGATAGGCACATGATTGTGAGACTTTAAGGTTGTTCGGATAAAATAGAGAATATTAAATTTCATCCGTGACTGTGTTTCATGTAGAAATATTTATCTCCTTTTTCAGTCTGTCTACACCCCTACCCCAGCTATCCATTGCTGAGGCACGGTGGATGCAGAACTCATGCTTCCTGATGGAAACACAGAATCTCTTCCCAAAGTGAACGAGGCCGCCGCTTCTCACCTTTGTCTGGACTCCCCGTCCCTCCCCAGCAACCTCCTCAGTGCCCTCTTTACCTCCTGGTTCCTCAGGGTGTATATGAGAGGGTTAAGAGAAGGAGTGCCCACAGCATAGAAGAGACCAAAGAACTTGCCCCTCTGTTGGGCATAGGGATTTTTAGGCTGGAGGTACACTGCAATGACTGAGCTGTAGAAGAGGGTGACCACGATTAGATGAGAAGAGCATGTCCCAAAAGCTTTCCTCTGCCCCTTTGAGGAGTTAATCTTCAGGACCATCCAGACAATGGCACCATAAGAGACGAGAATGAGGCTGAGGGGCACAACCAAGATGAAGACGCTGGCAACAGCCATCTGGTTCTCATTGTATGTGGTGTCCCCACAGGAGAGTCGAATTAGTGCTGGGACCTCACACACAAAGTCATCTACCTGATGGTGGGGACAGAAGGGCAGGCGGAGGGTGGGCGGCGTCTGGACTGCTGACTCTACCAGCCCAATGATCCAGGCCACAGCTGCCAGCTGCTGACACAGGCGGGGGTGGATGATGGTGGCATAGTGGAGGGGTTGACAGACAGCCACGTAGCGGTCAAAAGCCATCACTGTTAGGAGGATGCACTCAGTGGACCCCAGGGACAGAAAGATGAAGAGCTGGACAGAGCAGCCAAGGAAGCTGATGGTCTTCTTGGTGCCCCAGAGGTTGAGCAGCATCTGGGGGACACAGCTTGTAGTGAAGCAGAGGTCTAAGAATGAGAGGTTGGAGAGGAAAAAGTACATTGGGGAGTGGAGCCTGGGGTCCTGCACGGACAGCAGGATGATGAGTGTGTTGCCCGCCAGAGTTAGGAGGTAGGAAATGAAGACAATCACAAAGAGAATCTTTTCTAGCCCTGGGTGTTCAGAGAAGCCCAGAAGGAGGAAGCCTGCTGGAGAGCTTTGGTTGAACATGACCAGTTCGTGTCCACAGCTGCTGGGATGAGGCTGTTGGATTAGTGCCCTTGATCCTGTTTTGTAAAAATGCATCCTGGTTACTTGTCAGGTTGTGTTGAGTAGACCTTTTTCCTCTGTCTGCCCTGCTTCCTAGGCACATTACCACCAGCAGCTCCTTCCTCTGCTCCTCCTGGTCAAGTTGTTGAGTGTCAGTGAGGGAATGGACACCAGTAGTGGTTACAGATGGAGCCTCACACTAGTGCCTCTGCCTTCCTGGTTGGGGACAGAGGAGGCTGACATCAAGTACAGATTAACTAATCCATTCACTGAACAGAAATTTACTGGGTGCCCTGTGTTCAGGATCCTTTTGTAACTGTTGTCTTTTCCCTTACTATCTATCTGTTGGAGGAACTAGCTAAACAATGGGTCTGGGCTGTATAGTTCAGTGGTAAAGCCTTTGCCTAGTATGCAGGATTCCAGGATTGATCTCCAGCAACACACACACACACACACACACACACACACACACACACTTCAAATAAAAATACATATTTTTTTTCTGTACCAGGGATGGAACTCAGGACCTTGTGCTTGCCACGCAGGTGCAGCACCACTGAGGTACATTCCTGGCCCAAATTAATATATTTTGAATGAATTTTCCTGGCCATATGTTATTTGTGTAGGCTTTATCATTGGTCTGTTGGCTGGACGAATTTTGGACTGAAATGAATGTAAATGCACTCATTATATTTATTTGCAAGGGAGCTTATCAGAAGAGTTATCTGTGGGAGAGATCTTCATTTAAGAGATCTGCACTCGGTGAGATCTGTTGTGTTGCTCTGATCTCATTAGAACTGGCCCACATGCTCAGTCTTTGCTATGAAGAGTTTTCAGGCAAGAGGTGAGAGTGACCCCGTGAATGTGAAAATCACGGGAGAGGTGCCAGAAGCATTATCAAAAGTCTTAAAGATTTTTTGTTTTGTTTTTGGTACCGGGGATTGGAGTCGGGACCTTGTGCTTGCGATGCAGGTGGTGGAACCACTGAGCTAAAACCCCCGGCCAAAGACTTAAGGATTTAAAGGCTGGTGATGCCATTGTACAGAGTGAATGAGAGGAAAGAGGGTTTGAGTTGAAGGACACAGTTTGGGAAAAATCTGTCTGTGAAGGTTTCCTAGATGAGGTAACTGGATTTTCTCTATAAAAGAAATATTGGAGCACAGAATGCTGTTCAGGGGTGGCGGTGGAAGGTGGTGGCCATTGTAGCACTTACCGGGAGGAGTCAGGGTTTCCTGGTCTTAGAAGGTCTGGGGAAAGCCGCTGGGGGGTGTGGCAAGCAAGGGGGACACCTGCAGGCAGTGCTCGCTGAAAGAAGCACCTTCAAGTCACCAGGCACTGGTTTGCATTTTAGATCCATTACGCCTTCCTTTTTGCCAGAGTGTTCTATTTCCTGCTTTTTTCTTTTTCTATTGTTGTTCCCCCTTAAAAACATTGAAAACATTATTGTATATTCATACAAAAGTGTGAGTGAAACAAATCTCTGCAGCTTAGCGGCATGAACCCCTGACATATCCAGCAACCAAGGAGCTGACAAGCATTTCAGATCTTTCAGAACCCCCTGTGTGCTCATTTCTGGCCTCTCATTTCCAACTCTTAAGGTGGAACTACCATTCTGAAGGTTTTTTTTTTTTTTTTTTTTTTTTAATAGATTTTTTGAGACAGGATCTCACTATGTAGTTGAGACTGACCTGGAACTCACTATGTAGCCCAGGCTGGTCTCGAACTCACAATGATCCTCCTGCCTCACGGTCCCAAGTGCTGGGATTACAGGTGTTTGCCATCATGCCCCACTCTGAAGTATTTTTTGAGATGTATTTTACATATCATAACAGTCACACTTTCAAATGTATTCACCATTTATACAGCCAACACTATCTACTTCCAGGTGTTTCATCACTCCTCCAAACTCCACATCCATTGCACTGTATTAACTACTTTTCTCTCATTGCTGAGACAAAATACCAGGCACCCAAAGTTAAAGGGGAAGGGGTGTAATTTGGCTTATAGTTCATAGAGGTTTCAGTCCATAATCAGCCAACTCCAAGACAAGGATGAGAAACAGGTGTGGCAGAGCAGAAACCAATGGCACACAAGAGGCAGCAAAAGTAACAAGAGAGTTAACGAGCTCCCTGCCCCTTTTATCTTATGCAGATTGCTTAGGGTAGGCAGCACTCACACCCTTAACCCTAGTGCCCTTGAGCCTAGCATTACATCATGAATCAATTCCAGCTTCACACACTCTAGATCAAGCCTTTGATCACATGAAGCTTTAGGGGGACATCTAGGCCCAAACCATAACAGCAGCCATGCATTTTCTTTGTAATATATAATTCTCTTTTTGTTGCTTTTTTGTTTTTTGAGACAGTCTTGCTATGTAGCCCAGGCTACCCTTGGACTCATGGCAATCCTTCTGCCTCAGCCTCCAGGATACTAGGATTATAGGTGTGCGCCACCGTGCCTGGCTGTAATATATAGTTGTTTGTAACTTTAGCCAACCATTTCTAAGTCATCTGTCACCTATCACCCTAATCAGTATACCACATTTTACCAGTTCTTTCCCTTTCTCTGCCTTATTTCTGAATGTCTTTAGATTGTATCTCTCTTGTGACTCTGTTGCTCTTCTCTCTTTTGATCGCTTACATTTACTCCTTTCTTCCTGATTTATTAGTTTATTCAGTTGTTTCTTGAGCTCCCAGGTATCAGCCTTGTGCTAGTAGGGGTTTGGAGTCCCCTCAAAAGGGTCTCTGATGTCCTGTGATCATTAACTGCTTTGATACCATATTGGTTTGTTAAGTGCTTCTTTTGGGCCAAGCATGGTTCTAAGCGCAACCTGAACCCTGAACATCTGATTCTCACAGTAACCTTGCAAAAAGATACCATTACCCTACTTTTATCGAAGAGTGAAGAGTCATAGAAAGGGTAAGTAACTTTTCTAAGATCAATAAATGCCAGGAACAAGAGTCTAGGGAACCTTTCCAGCCCTAGATGTTCCAAGAATCCCAGGAGGGAGCCCACTGGGGAGCTTTGGTGACCATGGCCTATTCCCATCCAGAGCTGGAGGGGTGAGGCTTTTAGATCAGTGTGATTCAACTTATACAAACTCATACCATTAACTCCAAATCTGGTGCTCCACTGTCCAGGACATGTGGAAACTGATCCAGGAGAAGAACAAATGTTCTACTTACCTTTAATCAAAGAAAAGTCCCTTCTGCTGTCAGCAGTTATCTACAATAGAAGTCTTAACTGGTGCTGTTTCCACTTGGGCATCAAGAAGAAAACTAAAAAGAAAAAAACAGTGGAATGGACGTTGTATGGACAGTAGATTTCTGGTTGTAATGTGTTATTAATGTTTACTACCAGGCACATTTCTAAGCATGTGTGTACATGATTTGCTAGCACTGCTTCATACTATCACTTGATTATTACATTTTCAGGAATTAACATATTGGTACTTTGAATCAGCTACTGCAAAGGTGGTTACACTGGATCACATACTACAAAACTGCCTCTCCTCGGCATGTCAGTGGTTAAACATTTGCCAGCACACACTTGATTGTCTCTTGTAACCCTTTGTCATTCATTATCTTTTAATATGAAGAAGTTGAAGTGAAGAAAATTTAAACAACTTGTGTAAGGCAATATAGTTAGGAAGCACAAGAGCTGATGTGTGAACCCAAATGGGCCAGCTGCTCACCAACCCACAGCCCACTATGGCTCTGCAGCGAAGATGAAGCCAAGGGTGATGAGAGTACCTGTCTGCTGGGAAGGTCTCTGTCGGCAACCGGGCCCCTTCTCCTCCGGCAAAGTTAGCCTCTGTTTTAATGACACTGAAAATAGGCTGACATGGTGTGGTGGAAAGAGATCCCAGGACTTCCATCCCATGGGGAGAAAGTGCTCATTAACTCTGCTAAGACCCCTGGGTTCTACAGCCTGAAGACAATTAATTAGCCACAATTATGGTAGAGGGAGGAGGGAGTATTTACAGGAAATATGCCAGAAGTAGTCATCACTATGAGAGGTAAAAAGGCAACCTACTCTCTCCATAAATAGGAAGAACAAGGGCAGTATCTCTCCACCTTGGGATTACTCCCAGCACTCAGCTTTTCCTCTCAGGCCTCTGATTCATCTACTTAGGGCCCTGTTTTTTAAAATTCTCAACTCTTCTTTCTGAGGTGGACCATACTGTAGTAACGGCTATAAAACAGTTGGAAGAGTACTTAGGACATTTAGTCTAAGTCTTGTATGGTGTACATGAGTCATTGTGTTTCTCTTCCTCGAGTGCGGGCAGTGTAGTCAGGTCACAGTGGCTGTACCAGGTTTCCTAGTAGTCAATTCTGCCTTCTCTGAGTGTCAATGGGGCACACATACTGTACTTGGTAGTTGGCAGAATCCTCACACTGGTTCTTTTGTCAGTGGAGTAAGCGTTATAGTAGTAGGGAAGGCCAGGTGGGATCTCTGAGTCTATACTCCTCTACAAAGGTGGTAAATAGAACAATATTTTGGGCCCAGCATGACGGTGCATACACATAATCTCAGCTTTGTGGGAGGCTAAGGTGGGAGGATTGCAAGTTCAAGGGCAGCATAGACAATGTAGTGAGACTCTGTCTCCACAAGATGATTGTAAATTGCATGTACTAATAAAAAATTAGTAAAATGCAAACAAAAATCAGAAAGGACTGGGGAGATAGCTTATTGGCAGAATGTTTGCTTGGCATGTGCAAGGTTTTGGGTTAAACCCCCAATACTGAAAAATAAAACAAACTCCAACAAAATAAAGCAACTAGAAAAAAGAAAAAGGAGAGAGAATAATAGTATAATCCAAAAGAAATGATTGAGGCCCAGGGATATAGCTTAGTGGTAGAGTGCTTGTGTAGCATGTGAGGCACTGGGTTCAATTCTCAGTACCAGAAAAAAAAAATGCCATCCCATATGGATCTGGGAAGGTGACTGAATCAGCACAAACTAAAAACAAAACAAAAAACACAACAAAAAAACCCTAGTTGTGATTGTGCCTGGTTAACCTGATTCCAGGTCCATGTAAGGCACCCAGTGATCTAGTGAGCATGTTTTTCCAATTGTATCAGGAAGGAGGACCAGATGCTGTTTGTTTTGACAGGATATGGATGTGGAATCACTCAGCATTGTTCCAGGGCTGTGAAACTGTTGTAATATGGTCCAAAGTGGCATGGACCATGATGGGCTATTATTCCATATGTCATTCGAGCAGGGGATTTAGCTCAGTGGTGCCATGCCTGCCTCACAAACGCAAGGTCCTGAGTTTGATCCCCAGTACCGATGGGGCAGGGAGAAGCGTTCATCCTTAGCATTCGCAAATTTTTCTAGCATGGACAGTTTTAAATTGTCAATTTAACAATATCAAAATGCAGAGCTGGAGTGCTCACTTTGGCAGCACATATACTAAGATGCAGAGTTGGAAAGTAATAGATATACCTATACAGCAATAAAATACCTATGCAATCACATTGTATCATTATGTAGTGTTTTTATGATATAGACATAACAGATATAAATAGTTCGAGTGTATAAAACAAATGTAGTAGAATAACTAGAAAGTGATAAGTTTAAGTATTTTTACTTTTGTCTTAATATAATTTGTTTGTAATTATATAATATATTTGCAGAATATACTGGTCACATACATGATGGAGAATTGGTCTATGTACTTAACACATTTTAGTTCCTTTTATTTCTCTTTCCGCTCCCCTGTCTACCTCCTGCTTCCGTCTGTAGATGCTCTACTCATTTGCAAAAGGTCTATCTGTTTTCTAATGTTTGTTTTTTATTTTTGCCCTTTAATTTATTCATGTTTGGGTTTCCCATATAAGAGAAACATGCAATATTTAAGATTGTGTGTTTGTTTTTGGTACTGGGGATCGAACTCGGGACCTGTGCTTGTGAGGCAGGCGGCAGATCCACTGAACTAAATCCCCAGCCCTTAAGATTGTGTGTTTGATTTATTTCACTTACTATTATGAATTCAAGGTGCATCTATTTTCCTGAAAATGACTCAAATTTATCCTTCTTTATGGCAGAGTAGCACTCCATTGTGTATAAATACTACATTTTTTTCATTCATCCAATCATGGACACATAGGCCATTATATGAGTTGTGCTGCTATAAACACGGGTATGCATGTATCATCGTAATGTGATGTCTTTAACTCTTTTTTTTTGGGGGGAGATACTTAAAAGAAGAACCGCTGGCTAACTTTTAGTCTCCATACTGAACACAGTGGTTATGCTAGTTCATATTTCTACCAACAATGCAGAAGTGTTCCTTTTCCCCCAAGCCTTCCCAACATTTATTATTATTTGATTTCTTGTTGATAAACATTCTTTTTGGGGTAAGATGGAGTGTGAATATTGTAATTTACATTTGTCTAATCACCAGAGGTGTTGAACATTTTTTCATGTATTTATTGGAAATATGTACTTATGAGAAGTACCTATTCAATTTACTTGTCCTTTTTTTTTTTTTACAGGGGATTAAATTCAGGACCTTGCACTTGCCAGGCAGGTGCTGTGCTAAATCCCCGTGCCACTTGTCCATTTTTTTGATTGGGTCTTTTATTTTTGGGATCTGTTTATTTTGAGTTCTTTATGGATTCTAGATATTAGTTCTGTGTCTGAGAAGTAGCTGGCAACAATATTTTCCATTCTGTAGTTTGTCTCTTCATTCTGCTATTTTTTGTGTTTTTTTTTTTTTTTTTTTTTTTTTTTTTTTTTTTAGTACTGGGGATCACACTTGGGTCCTTGTGCTTGCAAGGCAGGTGGTGGAACCACTGAGCTAAATCCCTGGCCCCACACTCTGCTTTTTGTTTTGTTTTGCTTTTTTTTGTTTTTCTTTAGATAGTATCTTGCTATGTAGTTCAGGCCGGTCTTGAACTCACTATGTAGCCCAGGTTGGCCTCAAAATCACAGTGATCCTACCTCAGCCTTCTGTGTGCTGGATTACAGGTGTTTGCTACCGCGCCTGACTGTCTCTTCATTATGTTGGTTGTTCCCTTTGCTGTGCAGAAGCCTTTTCATTTGATATAATCCCATTTGTTGATTCTTGATATTTCTCATGTGATTGGGGTTCTGTTTAGAATATCCTCATTTGTGCCTATGTCTTCAAGAGTTTTACCTTTTAAATTTTTTCAGACAGGGTCTCCTTATGTAGTTCAGGCCAGCCTTGAACACTGTAGCCTTGAAAACTATGTAGCCTTGAACTCACTTTGTATTCCAGGCTGGCCTCGAATTGTGTGATCCTCTTTATTTTCAGTACCAAAGATCAAACTCAGGACCTTGCACTTGCCAAGCACAAATGGCACCACTGAGCTACATCTCTGGCTTTGTAGTGATGCTCCTGTCTCATCCTCCTGAGGGCTGGGATTACAGGTGCACACCACTATCCTTAGAAAATTTTGCCTATTTTATCTTCCAGCAGATTAAATGATTAAATACCTAGATTATTTATTTGAGACAGGGTCTCACTATGTAGTTCAGGTTGGTCTTGTTTCTTTTTCTTTTTATACTGAGGATCAAACTCAGGATCTTGTGCTTGTGAGGCAGGCAGTGGCACCACTGAGCTAAATTGCTGGCCCTGATCTTGAACTCACTATGTAGCCCAGGCCAACGTCTAACTCACAATGATCCTCCTGCCTCAGCCTTGCTAAGCTTTGATTTTATTTTAGACATGGTGAGAAATAGGGCTCTAGATTCAATTTTCTGGATGTGTATAAGCAGTTTTCTTTAGCACCAATTGTTGAAGAGGCTGTCTTTTCTCCAGTGTATGCATTTAGCCCCTTTGTTGATGATCAGATGACTGAATGTGCCTTGGGTTGATTTTGCATCATCAGTGCTGTCCCATTGATCTACTTGTCTGTTTTTGTTGTCTGTTGGTTTTTTTTTTTTGAGAAAGGATCTCACTATGCAGTTCAGGCTGACCTTGAATTCACTATGGCCTATCTTTGAACTTGTAGTGATCCTCCTGCCTCAGCCTCCTGAGTACTGGGAATACAGACATGGGCCACCATACCCAGCCCTATTGTTTTTAATATAACTTGAAACCTGGGATTTTGGTGCCTCTTGCTTTGCTCTTGTTGCCCAGGATTGTTTTTGCTATTTTGCATCACCTGTGGCTCCACGTAGATTTTAGGATTTCTCTAGTTCTGTGAAGAATACTGTTGGTATTTTGATTGGGATTTCATTACATCTACTTATGATTTTTTGATAGTGTGTATTTTTTATTTTTTGAGGTAAAACATTTATTGGTACATTTTAGATATACATAATGATAACACTCAGGGAATTTGCAACCGTACATGATATATCTTGTCTTTTTTTCCCATTTCCCCTTCCCTTGACCCCCTGTCCTTCCCATATACAAAGCTTTGTTTCCATTTTCCTTCTATTTTCAATTTTTTGCCCCATCCTTCCTTTCTCCTCCCTCCTCTATTGTTCCTCTTCTCATTTGAACATTTTCTTCTGTTTCCCAATATCTATTATATTACACATTCTGGTCCTTATTTTCACCTTAAGTTTCTCACACCAGAGAAACAGTGCAGTATTTAAATACACGTGTCTGATTTATTTATTTTTTAAATTATTTTCAGATCAGAAGGGTAATGTGCTGATGTCCTTACAAGGGTGGAGGGAGGCATATCTCATGCATACAGCATGAACACCCAGTGATTTCTCTTGTGCAAAAGTCTGCTTTCTTCTTTCTTTCTTTTTCTTTATTTTTTGGTACTGGGGATTGAACTCAGGACCTTGCATTTGTCAGGCAGGTGTGGTGCCACTGAGCTAAATCCATGGCTACTCAAAAGCTTTTTAGTAAGATGAGATCCCAGTTGTTGATTCTTTGTGATAGTTCCTGTGCAATCAGGGTTTTGTTAATAAAGTCTTTGCCTACACAAATGTCTTTGGAAGTTCTACCTATTCTTTTTTTGGTGCCAGAGATTGAACTCAGAACCTTGCACTTGCAAGGCAGGTGGAGGAACCACTGAGCTAAATTCCAGGCCCTACCTATTCTTTTTTTTAGGGGGCAGAGATAAGATTTGTTGATGAACTTGTGAGGGGGGAGGGGTGCGTAGTGGAAAGCTTCAGGAGTGCAAGGCGTGCCACTTGTCCAGAGGACCATGATTCAAGATGCATTTCACCCCACGGCCATCAGGGATGAGGTACTTCTTGGCCACTATGTCTTCAAATTTGTCTGCATTGAACTTGGTGAAGCCCTGCTTCTTCGAGATGTAGATCTTTTGGTGGCCGGGAAATTTGAGCTTAGGGCTCAATAGATGTTCTTTGTTCTGCAGCTTGGTGGAAATGGACATGATGACCTGTCCAATCACCACCATGTCCTTGGGCTTTTAAAAGGCATCCTGCATGCCTGTGTGGAGCCTAGATTGGGGAGGTCAGATTCATGAACACCCGCCAGGAAGCAGTGTCTCCCGGGTCCTTTGGGGCAGCCCATGTAAGTGATAGGACATGTACACTACCATGGAGGTTGCTGTTTGCAGCCATTTTTCACATGGGGTACCCACCAGCAAAGTAACCCAGTCAGCTTAATTGACTGCAGAGAGTTCTACCTATTCTATCTTTCAGCAGATTAAATATTTCTGTTTTAATATTTAGATTTTTGTTCTATTTTGATTTTAGTTTAGTTTAGATGAATGATACGGGCCTAATTTCAATTTTCAGCATTGGAAAGCCAGTTTTCCCAGCACTATTTATTAAAGATAAGGTGGCCAAGTGTGTCTGGAATTCTTTGTCTTCTAATCTGTTCCATTGATCCTCAGGTCTGTTTTTTTGCCAGTGCCATGATGTTTTTATTACAGTAGCTTTGTAGTATATTTTCAAATCAGGGATTGTGATGCCCCCTGCCTTTCCTTTGTTGACTGGAATTTCACTTGCTATTTTAGGTTTCTTCTGATTCCAAAGGAATTTTAGGATTGTTTTTCCTCATTCTGTAAGATATGCTATTGTAATTTTAATCAGTATTGCATTACATCTGTATAACAATTTTGAAAGCATGGCTATTTTTACTGTATTGGTCCTTCCTACCCAAGAATAAGGGTTATCTTTCCATTTTCTGATATCCTCTTCAAACTTCTTTTTTAAGAGCACTGTAGTTTTCAATATAGAATTTTTTTTTTACTTCCTTTGTTAGATTGATTCCTAGGTATTTCATTTTTTGGATGCTATTATAAAAATTGTTATTTCCCTAATTTCTTTCTCAGTGAGTTTGCTATCTGTGTACAGGAAGGCTATAGATTTTTGAGTGTTGACTTTGTATCCAGCTACACTATTGAACTTGGTTATTAAATCTAGAGGTATTTTGGTGGAGCTTTTGGAGTCTTCTATATAGAGTATCATGTCATCTGCAAATAATGATAATTTAACTTCTTCCTTTCCTATCATTCTTCCATTTATTTATTTTTCTTGTCTAATTGCTCTGGCTAACGTTTCCAGAACTATGTTGAACAAGAGTGTGGCAGTGAACACCCTGACTTGTTCCTGATTTTAGAGTAAAAGCTTTCAGTTTTTGTCCATTTAGTATGATGTTGGCTGTTGGTTTGTCATAGATGGATTTTGTCAGATAGAGATAAAGACCATCTATTCCAATTTTTTTGAAAGGTTGTGCAAAACTACTGTATTTACAAAAATGACACAAAAGTGAATCCAATAGTTGATGCACATGCATACTTCATTTACATCTTGCAAGGAGAGTGTTCTAACTCTACAGAGCTGAGTAGGAATGAAGACTTCAATGGCAGCTGGTATGCACTGAGCCATTTAAGTTATACCAGAAGGGCAAATTTGCCCAAATAAAATGCTACTGTTAAAACAGAAACAGGTTTAAGGCCATTCAAGTTCACGTAAATCTTTCAGACTTCCCATCTTTCCATATTTATGTGACCTTTCTTCTAACTTGTGGTGTTAAACTTCTGTTTTACAAAACCCAAAAAGAAAAGAAGTCATGCAAGACAAGTTATGTTAAATAGGAGCAACACAATGATACACTAAGATGAAGGAAGGAAAGCCAAAATAAACTCATAGAACTTGCTTGTTACTTGTTGGAACCAGCCTTACTCTGGGGGTAAGGTGATATATAATTACTTTCAAGTAGATGACGTGTTGCTCAACATGTCTTTCTTGTCATTGCACTGGTGAAATAGTTGGAACCTCTATGCCCTTACTCTCACAGCATTTGCTACCGCTACCTGCAAAGCTGTCAGTCTCGAATGACTTAGTGAGTGAAAGGAAGTAAAAAGTGGATAAGTAACAGTTAAAAGAGGAATAAGAGGAATAAGAAGATCCATGCATTTCATCTCTTTTAATCAGCCAGCCAGCCAGCTTGTGACAAGGGATGGTTTCCTCTGATGAAGGTCCTGTGGAGTGGGAATGTCGTCACCATTGACCTTGGTCTTATCCGGGGTCATAGCAGGCAGTCGCTAGTTTTTCATCTTTGCCTTAGCCATGTTGTAATCTCCAGAATAAAAATATTTTTGCCCTTTCTGCAAACATTTCCTTAAAAAATTGGAACCTCTGTCCCAAGTGCAGATACCTTGCTTTTAGTTTTGCTTCTTCAGATTTCTCTGGACTGCTTACTTTTTTTTTTTTTTTTTGAGACAGGGTCTCACTATATAGTTGAGACTGATCTGGAACTCACTATGTAGCCCAGGCTGGTCTTGAACTCACAGAGTTTCTCCTGCCTCAGTCTTCCGAGTGCTGGGATTACAGGCGTGTGCCACCATGCCCGGCTTGGACTAGTCACTTTATCTTCCATTTCCTTCTGCTCCTCGCTGCCTCAGGGTTCTCCGCAGATATCGTGCTCCCACTGCGGGCAAGTCGCCAGAGATGTCATGATGATGTGGGCCAAGGCCACCCCCCGCAGCCTCTGCCGTACCCCCACCTCGCCAACCCATTCTTCCCATTCCGTTCTTTTTTTGGGGGGGCTTGGTACCCGGGATCTAACTTGGGACCTTGCTCTTGGCAGGCAGCAGAACCACTGAGCTAAATCCCTGGCCCAATCCCTATTCCAATTTTTTGTAATTTTAAAAATCACTACTGTGTATTGGACCTTGTCAAACACGTTTTCTGCATCTATTGAGATGGTCATATGTTTTTTGTCCTTGGCTCTCTATATGGTATATTACATTTATTGATTTGTGTATGTTGAATCATCCCTGCAATCCTCAGATGAATCCTACTTGGTCATGGTATATAACCTTCTTGATGATTTGTTGCATTCTGTTTGCCAGTATCTTATTGAGGATTTTTGTGTCTATTTTCATTAGGGAGATTGGCTGGCATTTCTCTCTTTTGGTTGGATCCTTCTCTGGTTTTATAATCAGGGTAATGCTTCATTCCAGGAATGAATTTGGGAGTTTTGCTTCCTTTTCTATTTCATTAAAAAGTTTGAGAATTAGAGGCATTAGATCTTTTAAAAATTTCTTGTAGCATTCAGCACAGAACGCATCAGGGCCAGGGCTTTTCTTTGTTGGTAGTTTTTTTTTCTTTCTTTATTGGTACATTTTAGGTATGCAATACAGTGACGTTCATCATTGGGATCTTGTACCTTTACATACGTGTCTTGGTTCTCATTTTTTCCCATTCCCTTGACCTCCCTTCACACCCTCCACCCTTCCCTTTTACAAAGACTTTGTTTCCATTTTTTTCCTTTTTTCCACAAAGAAGGGTTCCTTTCTCCCCACAATGCCGCCACCATTTGTTATTAGATGATTTCTTGATAGCAGCCATTCTTTATGGGATAAGGTGGAATCTCAGTTTTGGTTTTGTCTGCATCTCTCAAATGACCAGTGATGAACGTTTTTTCATATATTTATTTGCTGCTTTTACTTGTTTGTCTGAGAAATGTCTGTTCATTTCAGATGCCCATTTTTGATTTAGGTCTTTGTATTTGGGGGGATTTTGAATTTTCTGAGTTCTTTATATATTCTAGATAATAGTCCTTTGTGTGATGAGCAGCTGGTAAAAATCTTTTTTCCACATTATAGGTTGTCCCTTAGCTCTGTTGGTGGTTTCTTTTGCAGTGCAAAAGCTTTTTAACAAAAATGATGAGATCCCAGTTGTTGATTCTTTGTGCTAGTTACTGTGCTTTTGTACTGGGGATAGAACTCTGATCCTTGTGCTTGTGAAGCAGCTAGAGGAACAACTGAGCTAAATCCCTGGCTCTGAAGATTTTTTAAAATCATTGATAAATGGAGTTTTATATACCTCACTCATCTCTATGTCAAATTCTTTTTCCCTGTTTGGGAATTTTTCTGCCATTACTTCTGTAAACATGTTTTTTTATGTCATTTGTTCTATCATGCTTTTTCATTGACTCCAATCAATCTTATGTTATTCTACTTTGCATCATGTAGCAGCTGCTGGAATGATTTCTCATGGTCCCTTGCTATTTTTAAGAAAACTTTCTTTTTGTGATTGCAGCTGCAAGCCTTATCTCCTGTCCTCATATTGGCTCATTCTGCTGTATATGCTTTGAATGTATTTTTTTTGGTACTGGGGATTGAATTCGGGTCCTTGCACCTGTGACGCAGGCAGCAGAACTACTGAGCTAAATCCCCAGCCTTCAATGGAGTTTTTAAATGTCCTGGATATCTGTTTGAATCTGTTTCATGGATTCCATTTATTTCCTTTGCTAGGTGTTCATGGTTTCCATCATTTTCCTGAGCTCCTCTATTTTTTAAAAAATCTGTATCTGCTCTAGAGCCACTAAGCATATTTTTCATTCAGGTCATCATCTCTGTAGTTATGTGACAAATTATTTCTGTTTTGTTACTTCCTCTGTTACTATTTTAGAGATTCTGGGTGGGTGGCTTTTGGATTGTTTCATTCATTGCCTCCCGTGTTTGCCTTTGGTGAGCTGAAATTCTGGGTGGGTGTTGCATCTTAAGTGTCTTCTTTTTTTCTTTTCTTTTGGTATTGGGGATTGAACTGAGGTCCTTGTGCTTGTGAGGCAGGCGGCAAAACCACTGAGCTAAATTCCCAGTCCAAGTCTTCTTATTTTCTATTTTTAAAAAAGTTTAATTCCTAGGTTGATGCTCACAAATTGCTTATGGTGAGCAGCTTTCTTGCCAGTACTCAGAACCCTTAGGAAAAGACTATTTCTCTATGAAAAAATTTTATTGGTACATTTTAGGTATACAGTATAATGACATTTGACATTCATCAGTGGAAATTTGCACCTTTATGTAATCTATCTTGGTTCTTATTTTTTCCCCACTCTCCTGCTCTCACTTCAATCCCTCTACCCCTCCCGATTTACAAAGACTTTGTTTCCATTTTTGTTCATTTTATCATATTCTATTTCTTTTTTCCCTTTCCCCTACCCCTCACTCTTCCCCTTCCCATTTGCCCCCTTTCTTTCTATTTCACATTGTCTTTTAGTCCTTATTTACACTTTCAGTTTCTCACAACAGAGAAACTATTAGATATTTACACATGTGTCCTATTTATTTCACTTAAGAATATCACCTCAATGTGCATCCATTTATCTGTAAATGTCTCTAATTTCTCATTATTTATGGCTGAGTAGTACTCCATTTTATT